GCTGAACCAACTAGCCAAAGAAGCGAAGCACTCTTGTCTTGACAATCCACGTCGAAAGTTATGAAAAATAATGGCACGAAAATGTTCACGATTCAATTCCGACCGGTGTCGTGAAACTGCTTTTCAATTTACTGTCAACAACACAAATGAAGCTATAATGGTAAATCGTCTGCTGAATTTATGTTAAAAAATATCAAACTTTTGATTAAAATCGTCTGTGGTCGCCTAGCAACACTTACTGCTGCCAAGGCCAGAAATATAAATAGCAACCCTCGTATGATGACATTCTGTAACATAATGTTATCAGAGTTAATAACATACTATATTTAAAAGTTAAAACATTCTGAGGAACTTTCAAATTTTCAAGTTTTATCTTATTACCAAATTACTCTGCGATCCTATGCAAAGAATGCAGTATCTCCTGATAGTTAGTGGAGGTACTGCCTTCTTTATTAGAACGCAGAACTACCGCTTTTACTGGGCGATAAATCGATGCATCGGAAGATGTCGATTCTATGTAATCATCGTTGATCCTATGTTTGGATTGGCAATTTTTCGAACCATCGGAAATTGTGATTTACTGAGATGTGTACGATATTTCCCGACGTATCGTTGATATCGATGTCTACACGTGCGATGTTGAGCCTTATTCCCGATAGTACACCGATATACAAGCTCGCGCGAAGAGCATTTTCCTCCGTAAGTGTGCGGTGTCGATGATCGTAATCTTTTCCCGTCTTTTTTACATCGCGACTCACCGTTTTGTTCACATGATGAATCCGAATCTGGTCGAGAATTGAGGTGTTGTTCTACCACTTAGTTATGGAAGGGTTTTCTTTTAATTGTGTGTGCAAATTATTTAGATTTTTTTTACAATCATTCCAGCCGTTTAATGTTTTTAAACAGCTATTTTGCAGGTATCCACGCCTTTAAATATTGAGAAATAATTATTAAAAAAAGAATGCGAGGTTAGTTTTAAGAAAATGCAATTTACTAATTGCGAATTTACGCAGTACTAAATGTAAAACACTAACGTACCGAAACATCGCGATGCATCGAAAATATCACGATGTTAGCGAGGCGATACATCGCGATGCCAAAATCTTAACATCACCCATTCCTACTACCGGCTTCATGTTTCACTATCGGCTTCATGACCTATGTTTTCTTCTTGTGCAGCCGGCGGACGTTTCGAGGTGGATGAGAGGTCCGGTGAAGTGAGGACACTGGGCAGTGATCCCTTTATGCTGGACAAGGAGTACGTACTGTACGTGAAGGCCGAAGATCACAACGGGATGACTGAAGACAGGCAACATCAGTCGACGGGAGAGGAGAGACTGTCCATCATGGGGGGCAAGAGACCCCCTCAGTTCTATATGCAGAAGTATGAAGCCACCATACCCGAGAACCAGAAGAAGGATTCAGAGTAAGTATGAACGCGACAAAAATAGTAAATTTAATCTAACTTTTGCATTTATCACCTTTACACAACAACATTGAGTTTTGTAACAAATACAGGGCAAAGCTTGCTATCAGTGAGCCTCTAAAATAAACTGTTCCTTAAAACCAAGAAATTTTACAATTTTATAGTTTTCTACATGTATATGTACTTCCATACTACTAATATATGTAGTCGTCGCAAATGTTAAGTAAATATTGAAGAAATAATAGCAAGTTCTATTAGTTCAATGAAGAAAACTGGTCGATTTTGATAAAACAGGGAATTTCCATGAATGGGCCAGTAACTATTTTATTTCTTAATTCAGTATCACCTTAATACAAGTCTGCAAAATATTTAAAACTAGAATGAACATGATGCTTGAATATAAAACGCTGATTATAGATATCAACACAGACAAAAAAAAATTCATTAAAATAATTTACAATGAACATTTTCTACTTATTTAAAGGAATAAATTAGATCATTATATGATTACAGATTCAATTACATTTAATGCCATGTTCAATAAATAATTTTTAAATACCAATTTCAAACTATTTGCCTCGATATGATTTCCATAGTTAGGCAATCAAGCCTTTTTCAGTAATACTCGGGCCGTCTTAGTAAAAGTAACTTGTTGTTGGTATGTGTCCGTGAGTTTCGTTATAACAAGACATGCAGCCATTGCTTATATGGCTAAATAAAGCAGTTATAATTATTATCAGTTATAACTAAAGCAATTTAAACGCTACACGGATATTCTTAATTTGTTTTCATTAAAAAATTTGAAGAAAAATGCAAATTTAGCTCATTATTTTGCAAGAAATTTATTTGATGGTGAATTAACTCATCATTTAAAAGGCTTATAAAGTATACTAAACTTTCAAAAGGTAGTTCCATAACTAAGCAATAATGGAGATGGCCCTAGGAAGAAACCAGTCCAATGATAGCAATACTCTTCGATATATTTCTTAATTAGTACCTCGCTAAATTTACAATAAGCCAAATTTTGAAGTTGCTGATATAGTGGTTTGTTCCCAAGATAAAACTCTTGATGGTCCCATCAAAAACATTTTGATGGTTTAAGTGTGATTCATGATGGTCCAACATCATTTGATGGTCACCATCATCCAACACTTTCCATTATGTGTTCATGGTATTTGATATGCCAACCAACTTCCCTCATTCCATGATGGAAAATGCTACTTTAATACTATGATGGTTAACCATCAAGAGAAGTTTGACTCTCATGGACCAACAATCGATGATGATCCATGATTATTCTCAGGAATATACCATCAAAACAATTTTTTTTTAATGTTGGACCATCATAAATCCATCCAAATTTCTACATTGGGATGTTGTTTGTTCATGATCGTTCCAACATTTGATCCTTAAGATACTATGATGGAAATTTCTGATGGTTCAACGTGAATAAACTATGAAAACAAATTGCTATTCTTATGTTGGACCATCATAAATCCGTCCAAATTCCTAGATTGGGATGTTGTTTGTTCATGATCGTTCCAACAATTGATCTCTAAGATACTAAGATGGAAATTTCTGATGGTTCAACGTAATTAAACTATCAAAACAAGTTGCTATTCTTATGTTGGACCATCATAAATCCGTGCAAATTCCTACATTGTGATGTTGTTTGTTCATGATCGTTCCAACATTTGATCTCCAAGATACTATGATGGAAATTTCTGATGGTTCAACGTGAACAAACTATCAAAACAAGTTGCTATTCTTATGTTGGACCATCATAAATCCGTGCAAATTCCTACATTGGGATGTTGTTTGTTCATGATCGTTCCAACATTTGATCTCCAAGATACTATGATGAAAATTTCTGATGGTTCAACGTGAACAAACTATGAAAACAAATTGCTATTCTTGTGTTGGACCATCACAAATCATTCCGAATTCCTACTTTGGGGTGATGGTTACTTATGTTGGTTACCATCAAAAACATAATGGTTCATGATGGAATTGTCGATGGTTACCATCGAGATTATGTTAGCCATCAATAGAAAGCCATCAAAAATTTTAAGGATAACGTTTGCCTTCTCTTTCAGTATAATCGAGGTGAAGGCGAAATCCTTCGCCGACAGAGAGATAAGGTATACCCTTCGTGCTCAGGGTAAAGGAGCGGGCACCTTCAACATAGGACCCACGACCGGTGTCGTGAAACTGGCCAAGGATTTGGATTACGAAGATCTTAGGCAGCCAAAGTCATATTCTCTTATAGTGACAGCCACGGAAGATTCTGGTGGTTTTTCCACTTCTGTTGAGGTAATACTTCTTTTTTATTTTACAGTACCACTAGGTGTTACTTGCATGTAACCAATTTAATAATTAACTTGTACTATATTCTATATTTTGTAATTTTTAAACATTGTGAGTTTGTAAATATCAAAATTCTCAATAAATTCTAGCTGACTGGGCTCGTTCCTAGGCTGGTGTGGAGCCGGACCAGTAGCCAAGCTTTGGGCTATATGGTAAAGGGTCCATGACGACCTAGGTACATGTCCAAAGATTGGAGAAAAGAAGAAAAGTACCACTGGGTGTTTCGGAAAACCGCAGGCTGGTAACGCTGTGGGCGAAACGAAAAAGAAAAGTTGTTGTCAATGTAAACAAAATATTAAAACAAAGAGACAATGTCAAGATATTTTTCGCTTTTTGTATCAAAGTGCAAAATTTTGTAGTGTTTCTGTCATAGCCATTTGAAAGATAAAATCTTGAAAACCAAAATTGGTTACTCGGCAGTTTTTAAATTAATTATAAATGTACAATATTGCTGAAACAGATTATAAAAAATATGAAGTAAAACTAGAATTCAAAAAGTGACTTAAGAATGTAAGGGAGGCTGAAATAGATTCACGATCCTCACGAAGTTTTATTTAAACCTTGGGTGATAGATGAAAGCGTTCACCGCACGCAGAACAAACTACAAGTGACTCGTATATCCGCAACAAAACAAAAAATATTCTAAATGTCACTTTTGTAGCACTCTTTATGTGCCGCCTACTGCTATGTGGATGTGGTGGCATTTCCGGTCACGAGTTCTTTTAAATTAAAAATCTTAATAGCATCCTCTGTTCTCCCTATAAAATTTTGTTTTCAACCACGCTTTCCTATTCTTTTCATCATAATGAAACACATTTTGGAAACTTTAGTTGATGCGACCTGATTTTTCGTTGATTTCCTAGGAAAAAGTTTTCTAACAGTGGTTAAGCTTTCGAAAGAAAAAAAATAATGTTGAATTTTGTTGAAATTTGCACACTCTTTTTCTAGATAGAATTAATACGATATTCGATGAAATTGTTTTTTTAATAAAAATTAAATTTCAGCTTTCGGCAAAAATGTAGAAGAAAAGAACAATGTTTGATATTGTTGTTTAATAAAACAAATTGCACTCACACAAAAAAGCACATGGACTTCAAAAATAGAGTTAGAACCTAATGGAAAGAGGTTCCAAGAATTGCTTGTGATAGTCTTATATTCGTTAAATTAAAACTTGAAAAAAAAATATTCTTAGCAGGTTGCTTATCTCTTTTTTCTACCCTTTTTGTTTAATTTGAAGAAGTTGAAATTTACAGACGTAATGCAAAATGCCAAAATATTGGCTAATTAGGCACACTTGTATTGCTGTAAAAAATTAAACTAAATAAAATCAACTTGTCTACGAAAAAAAATGGGGTGGTGGATGGTGCTCTTATATTTTAAACTTGTAGATGTAAATTTCCTTTTTTTTATCCATACATATTTTCAGCTTCGATTTCATGAAGGAAAAAAAAATCATTGAATTATGTTATGTCTACATTTATTTGTGATGAGAAAAAATAAAAATAGAGAAAAAATAGAGATCATTTAAATAAAAATTATGTAATCTTTTGCTTATTTTAAGAGATTTAGTACTTTTAAAGTTGTTCATTAATGTTTGTTTTCATGTTTCTTCTTAAAGCCTATTTTATTTTATAACCGTCTTTGAGCAGTCGACTCAATATTGAGTTTGCGGCTATCATTGTTCAACTCCGTGGTCAAGTATTGGGAAAAATTTACTTTTGTGCAGGACTTTTTGGTGGCACTAACACCTTCATTCACGTTACACGGAGAGGTAAACCACGAAAACCTCCCACCTTTAACCTGATGGCAAGGGACTATGGCTGGGCAGCGATGTCATAGTGGGCAGTACCGAGCTGTTGAGTAGGACCAAGCTGGATGCCAGAAGCCTTCTAAGCTTAAGATCGATTTTTACACACTTATCAGGGTTAGGCATATTTTATTTCATTTTATATCCGTCTTTGAACAGCTGACCCAATTTTGGGTTTACGACTACTAATGCTCAACTCCGTGAACTTGTAATTTTGGACCCAATCCAGAAGACAAGGAAACTCCTGCACCAGTACCCCCAGAAGTATTGTTTTGTTATGGGAACACGGAGGACTTTGTTACTCAACAGATTTAACGTGCATCAGTCACCATTTACTACACGGGGAGTCTTCGGCCGGCGGGAATGGAACCCACGAACTCTTGGACATGGACCCAGTCTCCTACCAACCAGACTATCCCAGCCTTAGGGGTAGGCATAGTCACCATATTCATTTTACTTCTTCTCGAGTTGCTAGTACCTAATTAATGTGATTGTGAAGCCTCTCTGACCGAGCGGTATCGCCCGCCAAACGCTGTGCAAAGCGTGGAGGTAGCGGGTTCGAAACCAGATGTTACCTTGGATGTATCTTTGAGCTGTCCTTCTATTTGACAAAAGTTTATAAGCCTAAGTTGAGCGCACAAGCTTGCAAATGTATGCAATTCTAATAAACCAATAAGCCTAATTAATATGTTATTATGGATAAATACTATTTTCTTGGTAGTTTATTTGTGCTAATCTGTAATTCACATATATTTCATATTAATGTGACATGATATTTTTTTTTGTCGACAGCTTACGATCAAAGTGACGGATGTGAATGATAACGCACCCAGATTCGAACTTCCGGATTACCAGGCTCACAATGTGGATGAAGATGTCGCCGTGGGGACATCCATATTACAAGGTAATTCAACTACTTTTCATGACTATATTTCATGAAATAAGCTTCTCAATTAATGCAATTTTCAGCGATAGTTAGTTTGTTGTCAAGCAGTGAAGTCAGTCGAAGTATCGGTTTGCTGTAAATGTTTAAGAGGAGGGATATGAATAAATAAATAAAAACTGAAATGAATCCTAATCGCTTTTCTTTTAGTAATCCAAAGTAGAAAATAATTATTTGGGAATTTTTATATTGAAAATATACACACATAATAAACAAAATGTGAAATGAAGTTAGAAAAATGTATTTAAATTAATAAATAAATAAATAAAATTAATGCAATTTTTTTCACCTTTTTTATATTCCATATAAATCAGCAGTTTTATTTTGATGCTGAAAAAATTTAGCACTCTGCTAGTTCGGAACATGGGTGAAATCGTGGCAAACATGACATCCTTCTCCAATCCATTCGAGAAAGATAAAGGAAAAACGTATATTTTTTTGTTAGTTTAAAAGTATTTTAGTAAACTGCATATGCTACAGATCATCTTCAATAGTTTAAATCCATTTGAATAGAGAACTAAGAGATAGACATAAAATAAACTCTAAAGTTGGAGTCTTCAAAGACATTTCACTGCTTCGAAGTCATAAATATTGCTAATTGTTTCACACATAAAGTGTAGCTTATAGCTCATATAGAGTTGAAAAATTCATTCAATGTTTTGAACCTGCATTTCTTTCTTAATATCTCGATTCAATAGTATACAGAACACAACACTCAACCATAGCCAGACAAATAGCTCCTTTTTTCCAGGGCTCTATCTTTTAATAGCCGTTAGAGGAATGCTAGGTATTTTTGATCCTGGTCAGATCACGTGGATGACGCCTGAGCCGGTACGTCTCTTTTCAAACTTCTACACCACAATCAGCAAGAGGTTTTTCAGCCCTGATAGATTTTCCTTAGTTCGTATACGTGCAGGTTCTTTTGTGGGTGGCCAGGATCGAACTCATGACCTTCACCTGTTCATCACAGTTATGCGCCTCAGCTCAGTTTTAAATGATATTCTGGTAACACAACATTTTATGAGCGTTTTAACCATTTTTGTGATAAAAAAAGGAAACATCTCCCTGTGTACGAGGAGTAATAGAATTATAGAGAAGAGCAAGTAACCCAATTAATGTGCCTTTTTTTATCACATGATTATTATTAATCACTACTAGATTTACCGGGATAATTAACCGGCAGATATGTGTGGTCCTTTACCAGTTATACTCTATTTTTTAATGCTTTTTTATGGTTCAGGACACTGCTAGTTTTTCCTGGTATTTATTGTCCCACAGTTAAGACACGGGTTCCCAATAGATCACTGAAGTCAAGCATCACTGGCTGCGGTCAGTGTGCGGGTGGGTGACCACTTGGATCAGTCTGCGTAGGGACCGAGGATGTGCGATAGGGGTACTCGTTAAACTGTTCTACCGTAAAGTGCTCGACTTCGGAGCCAGGTCGGCGGGCTACAGAAGCGGGAGTGCCACCCCCTCTGCAGAAGATCAAAATTGTGATGGCATGTCTTTGGATCATCCTCAGGGATGTATCTCAGACCGTCGCCAATAGCCCATTGTACAGCTCTAGTGCGACGTACATGAACTACAACAACATCCTGGTATTTATTGCGTTGTTGTATACTAACGGTTGATGACTATTTCCCACTAAATACTTTCCTGGTTATTTCTACAGTGTCGCCTTTTTTTCCAATGTTACAGGGGTAAGCCATTGTCCAATTTCGATCCTCTGCGGAGGGGATGGCACCCCCGCTTCTCCTGCGCGAATGATGGCACGACCTGCGCGAAGTCGAGCCCTTTACGGTAGAACAGTTTAACGAAGACCCATACCGCACACCCTCTGTCCCTACTCAGACTAATCCAAGTGGTCAACCACCCGCACACTGACCGCAGTCAGTGATGCTTGACTTCGGTGATCTGCTGGGAACCGTGTCTTAACGATCAGTCCACTGCGGGACCATTTCTGATTGATATAAGGTCAGTGTAATTTTATTTTAGATTGCTTAAAACACTCAATATTAATAAAGACTTTTAAACACATAATGATTATGGTTAAAAAATTAATTAATCTTGCTTAAATTTGCACTATTTAAATTTATTTTCTTAACTATGTCACAATAGAAAATTAAAAAATTTCAATTCTTAAATATTTAACGTTGCCGATGAGCAACACATATTTTTTTCCCACTCTGATCGAAAAAATAATTTTTTTTAGATCGATTTTTACTGTTTTTAGCTGCCCTAATATAGTGAAGTAAAAATCAGTTGATAGGTAATTATAGGTAGGAAACTTCGAAATGATTAAGAAAATTTTCATATCCCACTTCAGTGAAACGTGTTAAGTTGTTAAAGTCCAATAAATCATAAGTTTGCTTAAGATATTGTAATAAAAACTAGTAGACCCCCTTCATTCAAAGTTTTAAAATTTTTGGAATTCTAGACCTTTAATTTATGTTAATATATTATGTAAAATATTTAAAGATAGGCTTGAAAATTTCGAAATAACAAAGATAGAGTAAAAGTATAACACTCAACTAAAAGATAATTTAAAATTAGTAAATTGCCCCCACACTGATCAATGTTTTAAGTATTTGATATTGCTAGATTGTTTTTAGAGTGCTTTTTATTGAAATTAATGAAAATGAGATGCAAGAACGATATTTTTTAGTTTTGAGTGTAAATCACGATGGTATATTGAACGAAATTAGCTATTGGATGATTCTTAAGATAGTTTAAAAACCATGCAGTGTATTACATTTTAATCCTTTTCCGTCAAATGAAGAAAATATTTGAAATGACGAAGTTCACTAGAGAATAATTGTCATATAAAAATAATTTTAAGCAGATAAAGATCAGACCTTACAAATGTTCTTTTAAGACAAAACTTTTAAATTGTTAAATCAAAACTATTTTAGTTTTTAATCAAGATTGTTTCAAAAAATATACAAAACGTCAACTTTTTTTCTAAATAAGTTATTGGAAATTAAGAAATAAATTCGGGGTACCAATACATACAACTTTTAATAAAAAAGTGCGTGCTGTTGCGATAAAGCTCGTGCTGTATTAAAATTAGGGCTTAAAATGGTATTTGTTTTAGAAAGATGCTGCCCGATATTCCCTACATTTATATATCTTTCTATTATATGCTAAGTGCGAAATTAGTAACGAATCCGGATAAAAAAAACGCACTGAGATTCTGTCTTGATATTAATATTTATTTACATAGTTGAAATACTGTTTTGGATTATAATTTTCTCATTATTTCATTTGCCTAAGTTTAGTAATTCGAAGTTTCCAAAATCATTCGGTGAATACGCGTGAATTTTTTTTCATCCCCCGCATGCTCATTGCGGTGAAGAAACTAGTTCATTTAGTTAGGAAAGGATGACATTTAATATAATAGTAATAATAGGTTTCATAAATAGAACTTCTTTTTATACTTAAGTTAACTTAAATTTAAGAAACTTAAGTTTTATTATCATATCTTTCCAGCAAGACAATATTTTTATTGATAGTTTTGACTATTTACTGTTCTAAAAATAAGAAAAGTTTATATAAATAAAACAGCCTTTTTTGCGTTCCTTTTGCGACATTTCATTTGTTGGCATTTTGTTCTTTCGTAGAATAAGTTCTAGAATATCTAACCTAAAGTTAATTTAGAATGCATCGACTAATCTAAGCTCTAGAATATATATATTTCCAGCAACATAATTTTAGAAAAAGTTCAATAAATAACATCATGTTGCGTAGCGTTTTTAAAAAGTGCTTAACGGTGCTTATTTTCGATTTTCGTTTTTTAAAAGCCCTTAAAGGAGCTTTTTTCGTGGGGTGTTTTTAAAAGCGCATATTTGATGCAATAGTTGGGAGTCCGCGTGTGCGTTTACAGAGCTGGATTCGGCTATATTCTTGCATTCTCATACGCAACTCTGCTGCATTTTGCGAGATATTCTCAATTTCAGGCTTCATTTTCCACCCTCTGAAATCGAACCGAAAACTCTATCTATCATGGCGACTAATGTAATCAAGAAAAGAGGTTTTTTGTTAGAAACTAGTTATTTCATCATGATCATGCAAAGTCTTTGAAAATTAATTTGCACAGAATGCATAGCATTTTTAAAAAGTGCTTATTTTCGATTTTCGTTTCTTAAAAGCCCTTAAAGGTGCTTTTTTATTGGCAGTTTTTTAAAAAAATGTTTAATTTTCCTTTTTCGAAAATGAGATTTTTTTCTTTATCATGTCGATTTTCGCCACGCATTATGCAAAAGCGTAGTTTTCGCATTGTTCTATTCAACGTTTTCACAATTCATTCAAACTTAATCTATTTCGGCGTACAATCGGTCCATAGCTTATGAAAGCGCCAATCATTTTGCATATTTGATGAAATATTTGCGGGTACGCATGTGCGTATACTGAGCTGGATTAAGTGGGAATTATTCTCGCACTATCACGTGCAACTCTGCTGCATTTTGCAAGAGATTCTCAACTTCAGGCTTCATTTTCCACCCTCTGAAATCGAGCCGAAAATCTCTCGATCTTCTCATGGCGACTAATAAAATCAAGAAAAAGAGTTCTTTGTCAGATCGTGATCATGTAAAGTCTGAAAATTATTTTGCATTTCGTTAATGTATATAGTGCTTAAAAAGTACTTTAAAGGTGCTTATTTTTTGTTGAGAGATTTGGCTAATCACCCTGCTTATATCATTACTTTTTCTTTTAGTGTCTGCAAGTGATATGGATCAAAACAAGAATGCCGAGATTGAGTATTCTCTGGACAAAGAAGACTTTACCATCGACAACAAGGGTGTCATCTACTCCAATAAGCGACTGGATGCGGACATTAACAACACTTACGTCCTAACAGTTAGGGCGACGGACCGGGGAGATCCGCCACTCACCGGAACGGCCACGGTCCGTATTTACACGGAAAACAAAAACGACGAACCGCCTAAGTTCAGTCAAGATGTGTATACGCCGAATGTGGACGAGAATGCTGGACCCAACACCCTGGTGACCACAGTAGTTGCCAGCGACAAAGATGGTGACAATATATACTTCGGATTTGTTGGAGGTGGTACAGTTTCCGGCATGTTTCAAATTGAAGAGAGAACAGGTAAATTCTCCTTTGATATTTATTCACAATCTGTATAATATTCACAATTCTCAGTTTAGTTTTACACTCATTGTTTGCCAACGAGAAGGGTATTCTTTAATGACCGCTCTTAACAAATCCGTTCTGAATCATTGCCAAAAAAGAAGTGGACGAATTCTGCACATTGAGAGTTGTTAAATAATATTTAAATGAGTACTGGCTTCTCCGATTCAGACGGATCATTGTTAAGATCGGTTTGAGCGAGGGAATATTAAAATGATCAGAAACTAGTTTATTTGCATTCGCTATTAAGCTTCATTCTCAAATAAATTGGTTTTAGATGATTTTAATCGTTCCTTTGGACTTTCCGACCTCTATAATGTTTGATCAAAATTTAGAATTGTTTAAAATGTTATTTTTGGATATCTAAAATGCATATTTTATAGATATAAGTTTACTTAAAGGTTTATAAAACGCTTGTTAAAGGTAGCCATGAAGGAATATCTTGTATATGCTGTGCATTGAAGTATAGGCAAGGTGTTCTAAAATGGCCACCTTCAATATATAATTTTAATATGCTTGCTAAAATTTGTCAAAAAAACCCACTCATAAGCGATTGAAAATTGATATTTTAGCTAAAGAAAAACTAAAAACAGTAAAGCTTCTTCCTCGCGGAAATATTACCGAACACTAATGTGTAATCTCTATTTTACATCTTTTTATTTTCACTGGTATTTCTAAAAACTAATACACTCAGTTTTCTACCTCGTAATACACTCATGTCGAAAAATGGCATGAAATAAATTTTTATGGCGGCTTATCCTAACTAAAAAAGTAAATGAATCAATTAATGACAGTTAGGTTACATTTCTGTGTACAAGCAATATGAAACAGCTGTAAGTCATTTACAAAACATTTCCTTTCTTAGAAAACCTCTGAAAAGTTGGCAAACATTCTGAAGAGCTTAAACTTAACGTTCTCAAAATGCCACTTCATATTCCGACATAATTTTGTGTATATGTTGTCGTAAGCCACCAAGGCACTGGGGGAAGCGATTGCTCTTATTTTCTTCATTTATGATAAAGAATCTGACTTCTGCCACACCCATACGTCCCACCCGTTTTATAGGGCCGACCCATTTTTTACATCCATTCATCCACAGATCGTAGTTTTGACCTTTACCATAGAATGATCAATCTCCAATCTAGTACCCTCAGAGGAATAATTTGAAATGGGAGCATGGAGGACTTTGTGACTCGACAGATTTAACGTGCACTAGTCACCATTTACTAAACGCACAGTCTTCGGCTGGCTGATTTCAAACTCCTGTTCTCACGAGCGTGAGTCCAACATATATATATATATATATATATATATATGTTGGACTCACGCTCGTGAGAACAGGAGTTTGAAATCAGCCAGCCGAAGACTGTGCGTTTAGTAAATGGTGACTAGTGCACGTTAAATCTGTCGAGTCACAAAGTCCTCCATGCTCCCATTTCAAATTATTCCTCTGAGGGTACTAGATTGGAGATTGATCATTCTATGGTAAAGGTCAAAACTACGATCTGTGGATGAATGGATGTAAAAAATGGGTCGGCCCTATAAAACGGGTGGGACGTATGGGTGTGGCAGAAGTCAGATTCTTTATCATAAATGAAGAAAATAAGAGCAATNATTCATATATATATATATATATATATAGTATACCACTTAAATAAAATAAAAATATTACAAGTTTTTTTTATCAAACTCAGGGATTCTGATTTTTCAGACTGTCGATTATTTCAATTTCTTTTTAAGTGGTATTAATTGAAAATTTAATGAGCTTTGCTTAAAATGTTTTATTGGTCAAAGATTCTGATTAAAAATATATACCGAATTATAGTAAATAAAATGTTGATGATTGATTTATAATAGGTGTGATACGTCTTATAAGTGGCCATATTCAGTTGGATAAGGACAAATACGAGCTTAATGTCACTGCCCGTGATGACGGGGCTTGCTGCAAAAATGGTGCTCTCACTACCCACACCAGCACGGCCCTGGTCGTCGTCTTCATAACCGACGTCAACGACAACAAACCCCTCTTCGAAGAGTGCAGCACCTACGCACCCCAAGTAGAAGAAGGAGCTCCCAGCGGAACACAAGTTATCAAGGTAAGACTGTCACTATCTGAAACAAATACAGCGTGGTTCGAAATTCTACTTATTAGTTCACAAGTTGCAGGTTGAGTTCACAGGTTAAGGGCTGACTGATTCTGAAATTAATTATCTCGAAGGCAAAGAGCATAAAAGGAATGAAACAAACGGTTACAGGTTGTCCCACACAAGTTGCAGGTTGAGTTCACAGGTTAAGGGCTGACTGATTTTAAAATTAAGAATCTCGGAGGCAAAGAGCATAAAAGGAGTGAAACAAACGGTATGTTTGTTTCATTCCTTTCCTTTCAAAGATTTCATTCTCTGTAAATGATATTTTTAAAAGAAAATTAAGGAAAAAAAATATTTGTGTAAGTGTATTGACAGTTTCCTGTCCACTGTTGAGTATTGATAACAGCAATCAATTTCAGTCTCTTATTTAAATATTTAATGAACTGGCCATTCAGAGCTTCACCTTATTGTTACTAAGTTACAGACATTGGCATAATGTGAACCAGTCATCTGTCTCATAGTGATGGCTAACTGCTTGTAATGGGAAATCCGTTGTCTAATATATCCTTTGGACACTGAAACAAAAATCAATATGTTGAAAAATGTATACATAAAAACTATTGGTTGAAATACACTGATGTCAGAAATTAAGAGATTTTGCAGACTGGGTCGATTATTTCAAGAACAACTGGACCTATTCTAATGACATTTGATGTGTGCATACATTGATATAATACAAAACAAATTACCATTCAACAATTGTTATACAAACGCATGATCGTGCTTAACACTCGTTGGAGTCGGAAGGTAGGAAACAGCGGTTGCAGAATAAACAAATAAAATGGGTTAAAAGGGGGTATGGTCCTCTCTTACAGATATATAGGCCTTGTAGCCTGATTTCATACTTGAAATAAGGCAGTTTATCATTTCCTGTGGTAGGCAATTCGCCTGAATCGTTTTCTAGCAATTTCATACCTTCAGACTGTAAAGATTATTACACACGATCATGCTTGTGTATTACAATTGTTGAAGGGTTTTTTGTTTTGTATTGTATCAATGTATGCACATATCAAATTTCCTTAAAAGCGGTCCAGTAGTCTTAGAGATAATCTACCAAGTTTGCAAATTCTCTTAATTTTTTACACCAGTGGATTTATAACAGTCTAAAATAAAACAAAAAGAAAATATCCAGATTCATGGTTCTGAAATTAATATTTACTTAATAATAAAATCTGGACTTGATTGGGATTAGTATAACGTACTGCTGAAAGGTTAAAATAATCTAAGCTCAGATTATTTAAGAATAACACACAAAGAATGACCTAGTGAAGGATAATTCTACTCTACAAATTTACTGACTTTCGATTATTTAACCCCACCCCCTTTGTTTTTTTCAAGTTAATTATGTTTGGTATGAGTATGGATAAGTTTTAGCTTTTGTTGAAATAATAATTAATTCGCGACCTTTTATATGTATGCTTTTTTTTAAAATATTTTTCACTAAAACTTTAAAACTACGTACTTGTTGTAGCTGTTATGAAATATCTTGCATGATGATGAAAAAAAGCTTGAAAACAACGCAAAAAAGTGCAGTTCATGGGTCTTTTTACCAATATTATTGACATATTGTGTGGTTTTTGCAAACCATATTTTTTTGATATGATAGGGCAAAAGTTACCAAAAAATAATATAAGAAACCACATTAAATATGGTAATTAATATAAAAAAACAAGCAGATTATTTTTATTTTGGTTTTAATAATTGATGTACTATTTGTCTAAAATGTAATATTCCATTAGGTGAAAGCTATCGATAATGATAAAGGTCACAATGGTCAAGTGAGATATTCCATTGTCCAGCAACCCAATCAAAAAGGAACAAAGTTCATCGTCGATGAAGTTACTGGAGATATTCGTACCAATAAGGTAATTAAATAGGATCCCAAATTTTTTTTTACATAATTTGTCGAATCTTTAAATACAATCAACTCATTTAGTAGATCAATTTTATAATCCTTAAAAAAGTTATTTCTAGTTTATATATCTATGTTATATTTTAGGTGTATTTACAGTTCAACTCAATATAGTGTTTTTTAAGTCTAAATCCTATCTAAAATAAATACGATGTAAATTAAGCATTAGACAACTAAACGTTTTTAAATAATCTTGTAGCCTCTTTAGCAGGAATTACACTTGAACATGTTAAACAGGTAAATGAAATAAAGATTATCACCTTTTAAAAGAAATTTAATCTATGATTTCTTACTGTTCAGAAAAAAATGAAACTGTACAAGTACTATTACAGCGTTTTTCGAAGCTGTTTTGTTAAGGAAAATATTGAAAATCCACAGTTGAAGAGCCTTACACTTGAGAGCAATGATGTTAAACTATGCATATCATCTTGTCGTACAGAATAATCTAGACGTTAGAACTAATAAGTTACTTAACTAATTTTAAAAATTACAGTAAAACCTCTCGGGAGCGACCCACAGTAAAATGGTCCTTGATGGAGGTTGGTCGTCCTTAGAGGTTATCTCCATTGTCTTTAAAATTGTTATCGAAGTTACATGATTTTTCGCAAACGATTTTAATTTTATTCAGTGTCACTTTCTTGCAGCGGAAATGCCACTTCTGTTGGCATCATGAACAGACGGATTTGCGAATAAAATTTAGCGTCTATAAAAATGATCCCAACTGATATAATTATGTGTAAAAACAAATGAACCAATTATGAGTGATTTAGCTATTTTAAATAAATAAACAATTATGTTTTTTGTTTAGGTTTGCATTTAATCTTATATCATAAAAATTAGCTTTAAAAGAGAAGAGGTTTGTGTATTGGAGAGGATTGTTTTTTCTAAAAAAACTTTTTCTTTCTAATTTAACTTTTAACTCTGAAAAGTAAATCATTGATAGCATCGTCTTTAATGCACTCAGACTTCATCATGAGGTTGTATTGTCAAAAAGAGCTCCCTAAGTAAGAGCCTTACACAAATACTTTGAATACATTTTAATCTATTTATTTGTTTTGTAAAATTATTTGTTTTAATATTTTTCGTGTTTCCTTATTTGGCCTTTTCTGAATTTGGTGCAGATGTTTGCTAGGAGAGGTTTTAATGATCTCTCCTAAAGGTTTTCTTCAACATAAAGTCTATGGAAAAATTCCGTGCCTCTCAAGAGTGGTCGTTCATAGGTGATCGCTATACGGAGGCTGTTTTTCATGGAGGTTTCACTGTATTAAACTTCTTTTAAGATTCGCCTATTTGGTGAAAGCCAGATGAAAATTATCAAAATTGTTGAACTTTCAATTCTTGTAAACTTTTATGAGCCCAGATAAGGAGAAACTTTTTAAACGTTAAAAATGAGACAAAAACGCTTTTCATTTTCGTTAAAAAATTTTGGATTTTCTTCATATTGACGTTTTGCGCCATTATTAAAATTAACATAGGCAGCATTGGGTAACCAGGGGTCTGTCCACACATTTTGTGAAAGGTCCACTTTTGTAAAATTGTGAAAAAATTTCTCGTAATTTGTGAAATAATTGTTAAGTCACATTCTTTCAACCAAGGTCCGCTTTTATGAACTTGTGCAAATAGGGTCCATTATTGCAAAAAAACTTTTTCAAGGAGTTTTTAAATTGTTAAGACATACAAGATTATGCTCAACACTGTAAAATTATAATTAAAAAAATTAAATTTTAAAAAATGAACAACAACTGCTGCTACTAAATAAGAGATGTAACATACAAATATTTGGTATTTAGCCTATACTGCTGAACGCAGAATATTCATTTCGGACGAATAAAGGAAGAAGCGTCTGCCGAAGACAAAATTTAGTTCGTTTACATCTGTCTTTGAAGACAAAATTTAGCTCGTTTACATCTGTCTTTCTTCCGTCCCCCCCCCTCTCCTGGGAAGGGTTTATTCGATTAACAAAACAATAATGAAGATAAACAAATTTGTGAAGGGTCCCATTAAAAGATAAATTATTTTGTGAAGGGTCCGTTTTTATGAAAAGATGTTTTAAATTTCTTCTAAACAGACCCCTGGTAACGATAGGATAAACTTGGCCAAACAGTGATTTTAATTTTTATAAACACGCAACAGTTAATTTTTATAAACACGCAAATTTTAATATTTGTAGAAAAACGTTATTTCATGTGATATCAAAAATCAGTTAGAATTTGGAATTGGGTTTGGACAAAATACTTTGGATTCATTGCTCTTAACCTATAATTCTGAAAAAAATTAAAGCACTTATTACTCCAAAATGGTTTTTAAATGTTTTTAGAATATTAGCAATAACTATGATTCATTGCATAAATAAATACCGCTTTCCAATGACATTTTATTTTACACATTTGTTTATTACCAACTGAAATACAATTCTTTTTATTTTTAAGGTTATATTGACAAGTTGTAAAATACATAAATTTATATAGAAGATATAATACATAAACTCTAATAACATTTATAAAATTTAACGCTTCTTAATAATTTAGATTTAGAATAATTAAAATAAAAGTAGCTATTTACATAAAAAAAATTTCTTGTAGTCTGCAAAATTAAAGAAAAAAAAATTATACGGTTCTTTGTCCATGCCCATGATTAGCATGTTTTAAATCTATTTTACTGTAGTTTTATTATTAGCGTGTAAACTCGAAAAATTTCATAAATATGGGTATATGGAAAATACATGCCTCAAGAAATATTAATGATGTATTCTGTGTCTCTCTCTATTACAATGATTATGATATAAAGATTTGCTTCTGTAATCTGCGAAAAAGTTTGGATATGAAAAAAATACATGTTTCGAGAAAATTAATGAAGTGTTCTGTGTCTCTTGTGCATAGGTGTTTGACAGAGAGGGTGACGACGGCCGTTTTGTGAGCGTGACAGTGAAAGCGACAGATAGGGGCAATCCACCCCTGGAAGGTGTCTGCTCCTTCAAAGTGGAAATCACGGATATCAACGACAATCCGCCACTGTTTGACCGGCAGGAATACAGAGAGAATGTGAAGCAGGACACACCTAAAGGGACCAACATACTCAGAGTATCGGCATCCGATGAGGACGCCGATAACAACGGAGCCATCGTCTACAACCTCACAGCACCATACGATCCGACGGATCTGGATTACTTTGAAATTAATCCGGACTCCGGTTGGATCAGCCTTAGAAAAGCATTGGATGTAAGTTACAACTCACGTATAAGTTTGCTTTATTACACATGCATAACTATTGGGTGTTATGTAATGACTGCCCTTAAAGTAATATATATATATATATATATAATTTTAGTATCAATGTTAAAAATGAAGTGAAAAACTGCGAACATTGGGAGTAGTGAATTTTATTTATTAACCCCTTGATGGTCGTATAATTTCGTCGCATGTATTCATTTAATTCTTTAAAATAGTCGCATATTTTTGTTTCGATCACAAATATACATGTTTTATGAGTGCTGATATCTAGTTTAAGATAAGTTAACTATCTCTAAACACTTTACATATATTCCGGTATTGTCAATTGGTGTATAGATTGTGAAATAAGCATGATTCTGTGCTAAAAAAATAGATTGTGAAATTTTCTAACCTCGCTACTTTTGAACTCTCCAGTCTGGAAATATCACGGGTACGAGAAAGGGAAGGCGTAACTTAACCATCCCATCATTTTGACGAGAGTGAGATGAAAGGGGTCAAAGGAGAAATTAACAATAATCTTTACAAATTCTGACCAAATACTATATGAGAGAAAAAGAAAGATTAAAAAATTTTTATAACCATTTTCTTATGAAATTTAAATGTTGTCAAATTCCTAGTAAAAGGCTAATGCATTTTAGTATTGTTAGAAAAATAAACTAATTTTGCATTCTTTCTTTAATTTTTCGACCTCAATGATAATTGGATGAGATTTGAAAGTATTTTTATGGTTTGAATATTAATTTGCCACGCTTAATTTCTATAGTTTTTTTTTAAAAACTTAATTTCTTATAAAAATGCTTAATATGTATACATATATACTTAATCAATGCATTAATGAACACCATGTTTATGTCTACACATATTATATACATTTTATTGTACATTAAATTCTTTTCTCTTAATTATATTTGATTAATTATTGTATAAAATGATAATGTACTTAAAGGATTAATTTCATATCAACTGTATATTTCACATTTCTTTTATCCTGTTTTGTGTTTATTGTTATAATATTATTTTTTACTCTCTATTTAATAGTTAATAAGAGTGACCTTTTATGAAATGTTTGTTTTTAGATATAAATTGTTAAAAAAATCTTCTTAAAAAATATTAACAATCCCATAATTTTAAAAAACATGTTTGCACGGTTTAACAATGCCCACGGTAATAAGATTTACAAAATTATTCTCTATTTATACATGAATTGAGGAGTTATAATTAACAAATGTTGAATAAAAGATGTTGATTATACCTATATATAATATGATAACAATAATTAAGATGCATATATGCATACAATAGAATTTAAAAAAAATTTCATTACATTCTTGTTCCCATTTTAAAATAAACATAATGTTTTTATTTTATTTTAATGGGTAACATTACCCAAAACTAACTGTACAGAATTTTTTTATTTTAAAACTTTCTTACATTAAAACTTCCAAGAATTTCAATTACTTTGAAATAATTTTATCCTTCTATATGTATTATTTAAGAAGTTTTGAGTGGTTTTAGGCAAAATAGCAGTAGGTTTTACAGCAAAAACAAAACATGGAAATAGTTTTTTTGGGGTTTGCATATCATTTGATTACTTGAGGGATTTGTTAGTTAAATATAGAGCTTTGAAGTAAACTTTTTTATAACCTAATCAGCATGATATACCTAATAAAACTGTTAAATAAGCGTTTCGAGATAATGAAAAGTTTTAGAATAAGTTATATCTGCGTGATCAATATTTTTTTTTAAAGAAATTTTCTTTTATTTTGCACATAACCGTAGTAAATGTTTTATTTGATATGAAAGCAAATTAATAGGCATATTTCTAATAGTTAAGAAATTAGAACAGGAAAATGCTTTTAAAATTTTAGAGAAAATCTATCAAGATTACTAATTTAAATAGATTAGTAAATTAAATCATAGTAATAATAGTATTGGTATAAGACCAATAGTCTTAGTATCTCTATGATATTTGGTTACAAAAATATAATTATAGCAGTGCATGCTCCTTGGAAATAGTACATAATAGTATAACAAATATCCTTTTTTCTAAAGCATAAATCCTTTTCTATTTGGCATTACTATTACTTCAAAATATTTCTTCTATAAAACGAAATAATTAAGCAAATAATGCAACTATATTGACAAAATTGTTTTTCCCAATAAATAGATAATTTTAAACAAGGAGAGAGAATAACATCATCTTAAGTACTTAATGAAAAATATATAGTGGCGAACTCTTACTAATTTTTCTAAATATTTAATAAGTTACTGCAAATAATGGACGCATAGAATTGAGATTCACCATTTTTAAAAGAATTAGCTATATGTGACATCAAGTATTTGGCAATTAATACGCAAAATGTTAAAATAAATGCTTTCTTGAAAATTTCTACTATTGAACGTAAAGGAATCATACATCACAATTTACTATTTATGTAGTATTGTTAAAATAAAAGCTTTCTTGAAAATTTCAAATATTTAGCATGAAGAAATGCTAAATCACAAATTTCTATTCATATAATATTCTTAAAATAAATGCTATCTTCAAAATTTCATACATTAAAAATGAAGAAATCCAAAATTGCAACAAAATACAGACATATTACTGTTTCTTTACATCGGAGATTGGACACTTATCAAAATATTTAATAATGCTAATAATAATGCTTATGGATATAATGCTAATGGAAAAATAATGCTATGGGTAGCAAATTCAAATGATGTTTATGTAATACGCACCAAATATTTATTACTTATGCGATATACTTTTCCGTTTGAATAAAATTAACACATTTACTTTCATCATTGAATTTACTTTCATTTTAGGATAATTTACTTTCATTTTTCATCATTGAATCACACATTTACTTTCATTTTAGGACATCAAGTAATAATAAATTTATTAGATAACAATACATTTATGGAAAAAACAATACATGATTTTGAGAGTCTTATATTTCACGAGTAAAAAAAATTTATTCTGTTGCAGAAATATTTTATAACACAAATAAAGGACATAAAGAAAGTTATTTTAAGAACAGATAAATAAGTTATAATGCTTACTTTAATCTATTTTTAAATAAAGAAGCGGTTTCGTACATACGTTTTTGGGCATGCTTTTAAACACTAATTTGCTTTTTATAAAATATTTTCACAAAGTAAAATATCATTTATCTATTGCTGAAACTTGTTAAGGATATTATCAAGAAACTGTCTTATTGAAGTGTTCTTGTTTTATTTGTAAACATTTAAACAATGTTTAATTTTTTGATCTTTTACTGTTACATTTGCTCAGCAAAATGGGTCTTTTAGTTGGAAAAATGTTTTTTAATGTATTAATAGAAAACATTAAATAATTTATGTTAATTCCTGGTATTTGACAGAATTATAAATTTAATTTCAAATTTTTAGTGTCAAATTGAATTCAAACTAGATTGTTTTCAGAGCTTGAAGCTTAGATCTGTGATTTGCTTCTATCTAGAAACTACCCGTATAGAAATCTTTTTTTTTTTTTTTTTAATATATAGGTATAATTAACAAATGTTGAATAAAGGATGTTGATTATACCTATATATAATACAATCACAATAATTAACATGCATATAAATACAAAAAAAATTTCATTACAAATGTGTACAAACATTTTAAAATAAACATAATGTAAATTTACTATCATTATATTATATTCCTATATATTCCTTTATATTCCTATATTACCTATTATATTTTTATACAATGTGCGTAGAGTATAGGTTTGCATGTATACTTACTTGCATATGTGTGTACAGTCTTATTCAAAACATAAATTAATTTCAGATTGATTAATTAAAAATAACGAGGGAAAATAAAAGATTATAACGAAAGTTTGATTAAAAATGCCTATGAACTATTTGAAATGTTATACCCTACATTTAAAAAGTAAATTTTATTTTAAACTTAATCCATATATTATCAAAGCTGTTTTCCAATCTGTTATGAGATTATCTAAATTACAGTACAAAAACAAATAAAGAAATGTATATTTGCTACATTTATTACTACAGTATATTTGTTGCTTCACTATATGGTATGTTACAAAATTATAAGATCACCCCAAATATCACTCATTTTTATGGTAATCTGCATAAAATGAAAATTTTTTAAATAGTGAAGCAACTAAAAAAAGTTATATTTTCTCAACTAAATCAAAAAGTAAAAAAAGTTGAGTTAGTTTTACTCAGCAAGTGATTTATTTTAAAATCTGGGTGAAACATAAGTATAAGACCATCTCTTTTTTTTTTAAATTATTTCTTTGAAAGTCGTCTGCAAACTGTAACTTAGCATCCTAGAAAATACAAACGATAATATTATGAAGAAAATTAGAATTTAATTTATTTGTTTTCATAATAAAATTCACAATGCCAAGCGGAAAAGAATTATCTGAGCTAGAAGTTCAAAATTTTTTTTTTAAAGGCTCTGGATAGTCGGAGTGTGAAATATGTTGTTTAAACGGTCTAAAACTGCTGTTGATAATGTTTTAAAGATACAGTAGGGGTCGTACTAGATACGCTTTTAAACTTGCAACGGAACACAACATGTCTACTCGCAAAATAACTCAGCTGGTAAGCAGAACGATCTCCCATATAACAGCCTGGTGCACTTGAAATTGAATTCGAATGTTGTTCTTCGAAAATTTAAAAGAAAGCCAAGACTGTTAAAACATGATAAAGAAGGGAGGCTGAAGTGGGCAAAGGAGAGCTCATGACCTAGATGCTGCTAGGAAAAATATTATTTTTTTCAGACTAAAAGAATTTCAATTTGGATGGCCCGGGTGGCAATAATTATTATTGGCATGATTTTTGAACAGAACCTCGTGATTTTTTCGGTAGGCAGATGAGTGGTGACTCGGTCATGGTGTGGGGAGCTTTTGCATTTGACAGTAAATGCGACACGCAGAGAATTTCCGAGAAAATGGACTATAGTTGTTATTAAAAACTACTTTATTGAACCTTATACCTTTTGGTCCACATCTGGGAGATTCAGACTGGAAATTTCTGCAAGACAATATGTCATGCCACGTGTCCCAATCAACTAAAAATTGGTTTCAGAAAGAAAAAATCGAGTTCCTAAGCTGGCCTAGCCGTAGTCCCGATCTTAACCCTACAGACAACATTTGGTGCTACTTTGCTGGACAAGTGTATGCCAATAACTGCCAATATGATTCTGTATACGACCTAGAAGTAGCTATCATGTATGAATGGGACAAAATTCCTAAAACTTTGCTTGAAAACTTGATGAAAATTCCAGTCAATCAAATCGGAAATGGTATCATTCAAAAATGGTATATCAACATCTTTTTAAACAAATTTATTTTACTTGCTGGTTTTATAATTTTGTAACAGGTATTTGGGGGAGGGATTTTGATACTGTTAACAAAATATTCACAGTTAAATCCATCTCGTAAAAATTATATGCAGGTATTTTGTTTTTCATTCATTTTTATTAGCTTCATTTGATTTTGAAAAAGGTGTATTAATTATAATAAAAATCACACTTTACTTATAATAAAAATCCCTTATTTGGTTACACACTGAATTAGAATATAACAGGTCTGAATATTAAAATACGTATGTTTAACACCGATTTTCAGAGGGACCAGTACCACTTGAGGGCGATTGCCTTGGACAAAGGTTTGCCCCAGCATAGGGCGACTGTGGAGGTCATCATCGATGTGGTGGACAGAGCCAACAATCCTCCTATTTGGGATCAGCCTGTCTATGGTCCCATATTTATAAAGGAGAACTATATGGTTGGACAAGTGGTCGCCTCCATAAAAGCTCGGTAAGAATGCTTTTTTATTTATTTTAATTCACAGATAGAGCGAAAAAAAGTGTGAACACCTTAATAACTTATGGTCAAATGATAGGATTTTTACGTACTATAGCCCGAAGGCCTGACCTTAAATATACAAATTAATTAGTTGGAAAAAAAATTTTAGTAATGAAATCATGCACAAAAACGCTTTTTTTTTTGTATACTTGTCAGTTTTAAAGTAAACTAAGTGAAACTATATTTTACGTATTGTGGCTGTTTCCATTTCTATAGTTGAGAGTCGAATCTATCAAAAAAGATACTGTAATTCAGAGAAAAAATTATTTGGTATCTGATTCCGCAAATTTAAACATCGTCTGTATTTATTCTATATAGGTATGTTCCTTGTACCATTAAAGTTTCATTAATACGAAAAGATCTGATCATTAGATCAAATGATCATGATCAGATTAGAAAAATCTTATCATAGTGAAACCAGAACCTTTTTTGTATTTTGCGTACTGCTTATAGTACATTTTATAGAAGAACAAAAAAAAAAATTGAGCTATGCGTACGTAAGAATACGGTACACGATATCACATAAGCATTTATATCATTTTGGAATAGTTATAACCTATTTTAAAAGTTGAAAATATTTGTAAATGTTTTTCAAATAACTCTCATTTTTGTATTCTTTTGCAGCTCAGGAATACCGGATAATCCGACGGTATTCTACACCCTCATGAAGGGCAGTACAGAACAGACGAACAAGAAGGATACATTCTACTTGGATCAGAGGAATCTGAATGGCGACACATGGGCCGACATCCAAGTCAACTACCCGCTCGACTACGAAAGAATCCAACAGTATAACTTAACAGTCCGAGTAGAGGTATGTAAAAATATTCCATTCATCAAACTGATCTTACTTTCATTCTATTCAGGTGAACATACAGGTTGTCCACACAGCAGATGATTAAAAGTAAGTCTCGGTGGCAAAAGGTGATAGAGGAATGGAACAAATGGTATTTTAGATTGTGAAGGCAGTAAAAAAGTTAATAGAAAAATTTTGGTTTTAGTTACAAAGATTTTTCGAGAGATGGCGTCGCAGGCCACTGAAGATCTGAGCGATCGGTTTTAGCGTTAAAACTTGAAATGAGTTGGTTGGACAGGAGGTTTAAGCCTAGTATTCTGTTGAATAACGTGCGTTACTGGTACTGGAATATCGCAGTTAGATTACAATTATATGGAAAAGTATTCTTTTCAAGAATTCTGTACGAATTCTGTCAAGTATTCTTTTCAAGAATTCTGGCAATGTCTGAAACTATTAAAAATGTCTGCATAAAATTTTACAACTTATTACGTTATAATTATTTTTGATATAATTAAAAACGAAGATAACTTAGGTAATGACAATTACGCAAATTTCGACCTAAACAATATTTACTTTAGCAACTTTGTAATTAATTAAATTAAGTGTTGTGGGTGTTTTACAATGTCTAGAAAAATAGTAATAGCGAAAGACAGTTTTGGTAATTAAACAAGACATCTTGTAAGGTTACCTGACATAATTATTAATCCAACTTTTCTACTATTTTTCCTTTATCCATTTTCTTTGCTGACTAATTAATTCTATGATTCTGGTCATTGCTAATCCTCGTATACTATAAGCATCGTATTTGAAAAGATAGTCACGACTTAAAATAGAAATAAATTCAACTTAAATTTTAACACATAAGCTATGTTTATTAACGTATTTATTAGAAAAAATAAATTCAGTGAAGTTTTTAAAATTTGTAGCAAAAAAATAACGAAGTTAAAAAAAAATCCTGCAACAAATTTATGTAATTATGCTTCTCAGAGATCCTCGTTTTAGTTTACGAATTTCCGATATATGACGTTGCAGATAGTCAGCATGTAAATGAAGGAAAAAATTAAAAAAGAAATCACGAGTATGTGAAAATCTTTTAACAAATTAAATTTACATGGCAACACTTTCGAAATATCAGACCCACTCACATGTCTTTGTGTGTTATATTGTGATACACATTTAATAATTTTTGACTAATAGGTTTACTGTCTGCAGTGCCATCTATTGAAAAAAATTTGAATTAAAACCATGAAGTAGGGAGGAAAAAAGTTTATACCATGTTGCATGAATTTGTGCTGCAGCATATGTTCTTTCAATATCAACTGTTTTAAAGTAATAAGTGCTTGAAAACCTTCGATCTAACTTAGGACATCTTTTGTGCATAATTAATTATTTTCTGAGAAGCCTTGGTGACCATACTTTGGTTAGAACTTCTGCCTTTAACAGAATAGTGCAAACAAGGGTGTCTGTCATTTTGTCAAAAGTATGCAATCAAGAAAAGCCTCTGAAAAAAATTTATCCTCTGAAAAAAATTTAAATTGAAAACTATTCAAAATAAATTTAAGTTATTTCATAATGTTGCTAAACTAATATTTCAATTCTTTTTATAAGCTTCATACCAACTTTACTAATTTTAAATGTCTACTGGAGTTATAATTTGTGCTGCCATCTGCTGATAACTTGAGAAAATAAATAAAATAAAAAATAATAATAAAAAACTTTGTTCACATAAATGAGGGTAGTAGTAAAGGTGAGTGTTGAGTGAGTTACCCCCGAGATAAACAATGGGGCAAAAATGTGTTATGCATTATTTGTAGTTATGAACAGAGAATTTATAAATTTGGTTATTAATAAGCACAGGTGTTCAAGTTTATGGTTAATTCTTTAAATTAGGTAAAATTTTGAAAATCCATCATCTTACCAAAAAAGAAATTTAAAAAAAATTCTTCTTAATCAAACTAATTTTAGGTAAAAAGCTAAATGAATTTTTTTTTTATAAAGCAATCTCTATCTCAAAAATATGCTAATGTAACATTGCTAGAAAAAAATAACTCTATAAAGGGTTAAACATAAAATTAAAATTTTTTACTATAAAAAATAAATATCTTTTTTCTTTTATAAAAATGTTCTTCATTGTGTATGAATAAAAAACTATGTTACAGCATATTTTTCGGAATTATTATTTTTTTCCATATATTATAAGACATATTCAAATAAATTATTATAGTCAATCATGAATAAACTTTGCATTCTCTTATTAGTATTGCCGAGTCAGTTTAATTGCTACATTATTTGAATAGCTGGACTACTACACTTTTATCAATTTTGAGGTACTGAATCTTAAAAATATTACTGTTTTAAATATTTTGTCTGATTTGTAGTATTGTTTGTTTGACAGCGAAAATAAGGCAGAGGTGTACAATTTTTGAAATAAGACACGAGCTGATTAAAAAATAATAATCTTAAAACAGTTTAAGAATATTGTGATTAAAAATCAATCCTTTTATATTAAGTAAATGTATAATGTAAGAGAAATATTCTTTTTTTTTAAAAAAAAAAGAAAATATGAGAATGAATTGGTATGTATCTACAATGATAAATTTATGGATGTGTTGTAATATTGATTCAAAAAATTGCAGAAAAACATTTTAAGAATAATAGGAATCAACACTTTTAAACTATGTAAAAGTAAAAAAAATGAATTGGTATGTTTTGACAAGGATGCATTTCAAGATTTGGGTGCAAAAGACAAAGAAACAGTTTCAGAATTGTGTAAAATAGCAGATGTATGTACCTACAGTAAAAGGAAAATGAATAGGTATTGATTTAAAAAAAAATAATAATAATTCAGAATGAATAATACAAATCAATTGGTATAAGCTTTGACAAAGATAGAATTCAAGATAGCTTTGTAAAATAGCTCTAAAAAAATACAAAAAAAAAAGAATATTAGGAATATATATTAAATTTTTTAAACAAAAGAAATGTACTATTAATTATATCAAAATGAATCAGTATGTTAGCACAAGGGTACATTTCTTAGCTGTAAAACTGATTTAAAAAAAAAAATTCATAATAATACAAATCAATACTATTAAAAACGAAGTAAGTGTATACAAAATTGGATAAGTGTGTTTCAAAAACATAAGATAACAAAGATTCAATAACTGTTTTTAAGTAATTTTAAAAATTCTAAAAAAAAAATTCATATAATGTCATTAAAAAATTAAATATTTTTAACAAAGCAAATATATTTTTAACAAAGTCTTTAATGTAAGAAAATGAACTGGTAAGTTAACACTAGAGTAAATTTCTATGACTGTCAAAAAATAATTTATGTAAAATTGTACAAAAAAACTTCACGAATATAAAAAAAAAAAATTCTACGCTTAAGAATATAGTATTTGTATAATATATGAGAAAAAATATTTTTTCGTTTTCCTTTAAGGGCATATTTCAGTAATTTCGGAAAATGAATTTTTTAAAAAAGGCAGAAAAGTAATTTCAGAATAAGCAAAAATTATGAATATTTTTTCTCCACGTATGTAAGCAAATTTAAAAAAAAAAAATTTTATGTATGTTTTAACTTGTATACATTCCGTAACCTATATGCAACTGATTTAAAAAAAAAAGTCTAAAATATCGTGAAAATATTATAATTTTAAATTAAATAAATGTTTTAATATACAAATTGATAAAAAAAAATCACTACTTTAAATCAATGCATTTGAATAATATAAGAAAACCAGTTGTATAAGGAATAATTTATTAATAATAAATTATTTATTACTAATTTCTACAATATTTTGAAAATTTAATTAAAACTAAAAAATTGTTATAGCAATCAAATAGGCTGAATAAATGAAAATATGAAACACACATTTAGATGGAGTTAATTTATTTTTTCACAAACGCTTCATCCCAAGGTCCAAATATATTCTCTTTATATTTTTGACAATAAACAAACAAAGAAGGAAATATTATATTTATAATTAGGCATAGAAGTATAAACAAAATTGTAAACAAAGTCGAAATGTGAATTAAAGCTGTTGTTACAGATAGAAAAAACAATGATGTAGTTATTAATAAACCAAAGTCATTGTTCTTTAACTGCTTCCTCATTAAAGGTAGCAATACAAACAATATAACAGCACTAACTAAGAGTACAAAAGTGTGCAATACAGTAGGCAATCTAGAAGCTAAGCACACAGCTGCAAATAAAGCAGAGTTCACTGACAAAGTGCCCGAAACGATTGCAGCATCAGTTCCGTAATCCTGAAACAATATATGAACTATCATCATTAGTACTACCATAGCATAGATTGTATCAGTACTGATAGTTTGAGTCAACGTTTTTAGCACAGGTGAAAACATGTATCCGAAAATGAAAAATATAACAGCACTTTTGAAATACTCATAGAAGTAGCTTTTCTTCATAGTCCACTGATATGCAGATGTTATTTGAATTATTAAGAAACATGAAACAGTTAAAATCGCTAACAATCCTAGAATTCTTATTACCGATAGATTATTTTCTTCCATAAATATGAAAATAATGACAAAGAAAACGGTACAGCAGATTTCGTGCGTAACTAAACAAACCTTGATGAAGGCTTCCCACCAAGAATATCGGTAAAGATTTACATTTTTGCGCAAATCGGATAGGAAAGAGGCATCCACATAATTATCTGGGTACTTTTGTTTCTTATACAAAACCTTTTCCCATTTTTCCGGCATTTTTTAAGTAATTATCGTTAGATTTTTGCTAAGAGAATCATAACAAGACATTTTCATTTCTAAACAAATATTTTTCTTTAATCGATGGAGAAGCATTCTCAGTGCTGCCATCTATAAACTTTAAAGTCAAACAATTCTTTTCGTTTACGCATTGTGGGCTGTTGTATTGAATATGCATTTTCATATTGAATCTATATTAAATTTTTATTTAGTTCTTATTTTCTAGAAACAAAAAGCATTTAAGAAACAATGACTTTTTATTACATTAGATGTTAATAATTGCACTACTAAATGTTTGAAAATAATTTCAGCAGTAGAATATTTTGCTTCACTCTAAACTGAAATGTCTCAAACGATTAGTAGTGCCATCTGTCTAAACATTTAGTAAACGAAATCGATTATTTTATATTTCATATTTGTAATTAAAATAAATACTGTAAGTTTTTCGAACTGATTATATTTTAGCTGTTCATTAAAGGCTGAAAAGAGAAAGCTTTAAAATCATTTTAAAGTTCTGAAACAAAAAGATTGACCGAAGGAAAAAACTTCATTAATAGAAAAAGGGCGGAAAAGTGCTTTCGGAAGCGTAGTCCAAAAATGAAGGTTGACAATTATAGAGTCAAACTTATTCACCAATTAATAACAGAGGTAAAAAAAATCAATTAATCATAATTAGTGTTCTATGGTTTCCAGTTTCCACTAGACAATTTTGACGTTTCCACTTTGTCTAATGAGGATTTATTTTATTAACTTCATTTTTATAATTAAGCAGAATCGGTTTTTTTTTAGGGGATATGATCGCTAGCTAAACTTTTTTTTAAGAATTTTTTTTGGCAGAAAATACACCGAAAATAAAGAGTAAGGCAAGCTGGGCATTTGTGCACAATATATCATAATATATTTTTTTTCATATATATATACATACAAAAAAATAAGAAATAATAAAATCGCCGGTGATATACAAAGAAATAAAAAATAATGAAAAAAATAATAACAAAAATTACAAAATTGTAATTTTTTTTAAAAATTTATTTTAAGTAATTTACTTTTCGAAATTTATTTTTAGTATGCTACGTTTGAAAAAATTGTTTTTTTATTTTTCACATAGAAGGAAAACAGAAGGAAAGAGGAGGGAAAACAATCGTACCCACAACAATGCTATTTATTGTGCAAGCACAATAAATATATAAAATAAAAAGTAAATAAAATGAAAAGAATTTGAAAATAAGTCTTACTTAATCATTTGTGAAAAATTAGAAAAAAGCTTATTTCTTTTTTAAAGTATAATTTGAAGAAGGAAAAAGAATCAGATATATAGTCAGAAACCTGGGGATCTAAGTGATTCATTTTTCAACAAGCACCTAAAAAAAAATCCGTCAATCAATTTTGTATACAATTTTTCTCTTTAAATTCCGCTTTAATTTTTAGTTATTTTTAAAACTAGTTAAAAGAGATTATTTGGTTCGAAAAGTTATTTACAAACAGTGTTTTACATTTTTGCTTTAATTATTTTTATTGTATGGGTTGATTGAGCACTATTTTGCAAAAAGCTCCCCACAAAATTAAACACTATGACTTATTTACTATTTAGTAGTTGTAAAACCATGAGCGTCGTATGAGTATATGGGGTGTGATTGTCCGGGCAAAAATTTAAACCCCTCAATATTTCAGACAAATGAAAAAAATTAATTAATTATTATTGATTTAGATAAATTAAAGTTAAAAACAAGAAAAAGCTGAAAATAAAAAATCTTTTGTCGGTACTTAGCACATTTAAGAATTTTTTTTTTCTTGTGTGTGAAATTTAGAGAACTATTGTAAAGGTTAATTTAATTTCGTCCCCTCCTAGAAAGTGGGCCTCTACGACGCCATGTACAGTTACTATGTCATACAGCGTTTTAAATATGTTTATTATGAAATGTTTCGCAATAAGATATTATATATTATAGGATTACTTTAAAATGGATATCGCTTTTAGTTTCAAACTTTTCGTCAAAATAAAAAAACGAAATAATAGCAGAGAGTAACACTAAGAAATGATAATAAATAAACATTGAACGCAAATAGCGCTGAATAAGAAACAAAGAAATAATCAGGAAAAAAATATTTTTATAGCTTTTGTTAATTTTATGCTGATAACAAAGGAAGGAAGCAGGATCTTCTTTGTTAATTAATAATCGATAAGCAATTGTACATAATTTTATTTTTTCAAGTGCTATGTTAAGAAACATCTCTACAAAATGTAATGTCCAATATTAAGAAATATTAATGAAAAAATTGAGCGGACTTGCAAATAATTGAAGCTCTAATGCGGATGATTTGAAAGGATTAACCTTAAATATGCTAATTCACAAGTACCGACACTATTTTCAGTTACGATTTAGAAAAAAAATAAAAAGAATGAAAAAATCAGAAAAATAAATAATTATAATTTTAATTAATAATAATAATAATTAGTAAATAAAATAAAATAAATAAACGGCAAAAAAACCGGGACACACAATTAATTCTTTTTTTCAAAATAAATAAATTAACAAAATATAACAAATAATAATATTTGTAGAGTTATTAATAAAAATTATTAAATTTAAAAAGGTTCATTAATTTGTGTTATTAATAATTTTTTTTATTGATTTAAAAGGGATCGATTTTTGCAGCGATGCAGTGGCGAAAATGCTTATTGAAATTTTCAGCAATGGGTTGCAAAACTTTTAATGCCGGAGCGATATTCCATGGGAGGTTCGCAGGTGTGCCAGAGTTTGGGCATTTTTTAATCAGTTACGATTTTAGAAACCTGTAATAATTAATTATGCATCATTCATTTAATATTACCGTTATTTTATAATATTACTTAATTAAAATGATTGTGAAGACAGAAAAAAAAATTTTTAAATTTATTTTCGAATAACATTATATTGAATGAACCATGAAAAGAGTATGTATTAGGGTTTCGCATCGAATAAAATTAACCGAATTCAAAAATGAAGAAGTATATTTCTCTCATGTTCCATTCTTGACATTTATTTCGCTATTTTTCGTCTTTATTTAAACGAAAACCATATTTTTTTTTCAATTTATGCTTTAACTAAAATCAAATTATGAGCTAGACTAAATGCCGCTCCAGACACATTCAACTGTCTAATGTAAAACCCAATTTTAAAACTAGTATTGACAATCGACGCGATGTAAAAATTTTATTCTTCGCACATTCATTAAATATTTACAAAATAATTCAGGAAATTTCAATCATTAAATATTTTTTAAAATGAACAGTAGTCGTTAATTGGTTAATAAGTTTACAATTGCTAATGAAATTTATTCATTGAGTCTCGGGGGGGGGGATTTCACCAAAAAAGTTCTGTGATTTAGGACTCCATAGTAAAAAAAAAAAAAAAAAACCAAAAAAAAAAAAAAAAAAAAAAAAAAAAAAAAAAATTTAACTGTTGCCTTAGAGCTGTGATTCTGAACTTTTTCTTCTTCTTTTTTTGTCGCGGCACAATTTTAACGATTTTAAAATTTGACGGCACACAAAGAAAATTGTTTACTTACCTATAATACAGTGTGTAAAATAGTTTACAATAATAATTTTGAATGTAATTTTTTTACATTTTAAAGATCTCAATTTTAAATGGCAACATTCAAAATTTGAGCGAAATCAGTCGAATAGTTTCTGAGAAATCGAATTTTAAAAGTAACCATTAACAAGCAACGATTGTTCTAAACTTTCAGTTGCGAGCCGCGTTGGAAAAGGTGATAGGGCTTCCGCCTTCTAATGAGGTGCACCGGGTTCGAATCTCAGTGATGGCTGGTCGATACGAATCCGCATCTGGCTTGCTCCGACCGTAGTGCTGACATGAAATATCCCAAATGCAAGACGAATCATGGGTTAGAGTCCCCTTGCAGTTAGGCTAACCGTTCTCGTGGAGGCCGTAACCGTGCTAACCGTAACCGTGGGAGGTTCTCGTGGTTTTCTTCTTAATATAATGCAAATGCGGGTTAGTTCCATAAAAAAAAGTCTTCCACGAAGGTAAATTTCTTCCAATACTTGATCCAGGAGCTCCCTTGTCTTCTGGATTGGGTTCAAAATTACAAGGATACGGAGTTACTGTTAACCCAGAATTGGGTCGACTGTTCAACGACGGTTATAAAATTAAATAACAAACGAATAGTTTTATTTAGATATTTTGTAACCGTCAGTCTTTGATAGTTGCATTGTTTGCCATTGTTATTTAAATGAGCTTTGGGCGTCGGCTCATTTGTGGCGCATTATTGTACTTACCATCTTAAAATTATAGATAACTCCCAGCTCTTTCTTAAAACTTCTGTAAAAATCATTTTCAATAACTTCTCGCTTTGAGTTTACCAATTACTTTTCATTCAATGCCGTAAGAATGTTATGCTTCATTTCAATAAATATTCGCAGAGCAAGAAGTTTTGAATAAGTTTTGTTCAGCAGACGGGGAAATAAAAACTTTGTTTTCAATCATTAGCTCATATTTTAGGACTCATTCATAAAATTAGTCGAGCTGAGCTCCTCCAAAAATATTAAATTATCTTTACCGTACCTAATTCCGAATTTCCCTCTTCTTAACAGAAAGAAGAAGCTTAATTGGTTCGCATGAGAATCCAAATTTAATGCGGTGCTCCGAATTAGCGGAACAGAATTCGTTTGCTTATTATATATTTGTTCACATTTTTTCTATTTTATTCTTTGTTCTCTGAACCTTGTATATTACCGTTGAACAAAATTAGATTTTAACAAACGAGTCCACATTTTGTAACTTGCTTCCAGTTCTAATGAGATACCGTTAGCGGTTGCCAGGTTCCGACTGTTGTTCTGATATTTCGTTCGAAATCGTTTTCATTTCTATGGCAACAATAACTTGATAAAAAGGTAATAAAAAAACTTTTTTCTCCATTTAACAGACCGAGATACGTGAACTAATCTTCGTCAACTTATAGAGATTTTAAAACTAAATGTTTTCTTTTTTTTTATTGGGTGTAATCTCATTTTGAGTTCCATTATTTTAATGGTCCAATTAAATTCCGATGATTCTTAACCTTTTAAAAATTGGCTTCCATTTTAAAAATGATACGCCTGAAAAAATTCGCAAGTATTTAAGAAGATGGTTTCCGGTTTAAATTTATATTGCTTATGTCAGAAAAATAATAAATAAATCAGAAAATATAATAAATAAAGCAAAGAAATATTAAATAAATCAGAAAAAATAATAAATAAATCAGAAAAATAATAAATAAATCAGAAAAATAATAACTAAAATACAATTTTCGAATAATTATGAAAGAAAATTTAATTAGAATTTTTATTAGCTAAAACTTTTAAACATAAATACATTTTTAGTTGTTCAGGAACGATTCCAATTCCAAGTTGATACTTCATGACTATTACTACAAATAATCCTTAAGATTTAAACGCCAAGCGTAGCGATATTTTTTTAAATTTTTATTTTTATTTTTACAGTGTGTTGTCCGAAAAAGTGACTGATGATTAAAAAAAATCATTTACAGAAAAATGGAAGGACATAGTTCGTCAACAGATGGCGCTGTCAATTGCGGAAACCATAAAATAGTGTTTTCAAATTCTATCATTTACGGAAACAACGTGGCGCTGCTAACAGATACGGTCAAATATTTCGGTTGGAATAGTCTGGCATGCATCAAAAAACATTGTTTTCTAGGTTTTTTGCACTCAACAGCGCTATCCATTGCTGAGCTTTATAATTTATTTTAAAATTAGGTGAGAATAAATAACTGGTTTCCTGATCAGAACGTTTTCCTTTCATTTTTGATTCATTGTTTGAAAATTTAAACAATTAAATTACAGCAGTTGTTTCTAAAATTAAACATTTTACGAAAAGTTTAAACTGATATTTCGAATAAGCGTACAAACTAATCTGTTTCAGATGGTTCTTCGAACTATAAATGGGACATTCTTAACTTAAGAAGAAGACCGCTGATACACAAACACACCGGGTTCAAATCATAGTGATGGCTGGTTGATTCAGATTCCGCACCCGTTTTGCAACACAGCTCTGACGCAAAAGATCCTCAGTGCTAGACGGATCATGTGTTAGAGTCCCCTTGCCGTCAGCCTAACATTGGGAAGTTTTTGTGGTTTTCCTCTCCGTGTAACGCAAATATGGGTTAGTTCTATTAAAAAGTCCTCCAGGAAGGCAAATTTCTCCCAATACTTGATTATAGAGTTGAACATTGGCAGTCATAAACCCAAAATTGGGTCGGCTGTTCAACGACGGTTATAAAATAAAATAAGGTACACAACCGCAAGACCTATAACACCAGCTCCAACTGGTTGTTTAAGTTGGCGTGTTAACGTTACAGCTGTTCTTATCGGCTTCTTTTCCTTAATAAGGGAAAATATATTGCTCATATATTTTGTTTTGCCAAGTACTAATTACATATTTCACTAATTTATAAAATTTGCTAGTTACGATTTTATCGCACGATACGATAGTCGATTAAGAGATCGCATATCGAATTCTTATTTGATGGGATTCGTATGCAGATAGAACAGTTGCTTACATAAACAAACGCCGCGTTTCAACCGCCAATCAGGATCGATACCTACGATGACGTCACTTGCAGATATTCAAATCCGGATGTTATAACCTTAGCTTGATTTATGTAGTCTTTATCGAAATGAAATTAAAGAATCAATATAAATAGTATTTAATAATTACAGTGCACTTTCATTGTAAGTAAGCCAATAAATATTCTGCCTTTAAAAATCGATAATTTTATACTTTCCCTCACATTCTTTATCGATTCTTCTTATAGGTATTATCGATTCTTATTATTTTTGAATTCTAAATTATACGGCAAAATCATAACCAATTAAAAGCATTTTATTAGAAAGCGATGCTCTGTTTGAATTATCATATTTAGCATCAGCAGTTAATTATATGATTGCCGAAGCTTAAAAACTATACAATTGTATGCTCGTTATTACTTAATCGTTTTACCTTACTAATAGACAATGTACTCTTATAGTTGAATTAATTTTCATCACTATTGTTCTTGTGGCTAAATTCATATTTCGCTGAGGAAATTTTTTTTTTACTTTTTGCTTATTATTTATTACACGCACTCTTTATTCTCCTTTCATTTTATATGATAATTTAAACTCTCTTTCTTTCAAAATTAAATTTCGTTTTACGTTAATTATAGGAAATCCCTTATAGTTGAATTAATTTTCGTCACTATTGTTCTTGTGGCTAAATTCATATTTCGCACTGGAAAAAAAAATCTTTTACTTTTTGCCTACTATTTATTGCACGCACTCTTTATTCTCCTTTCATTTTGTGTGGTAATCTAAACTGCCTCTTTTTGAAAAATTAAATTTCTCATCACATTATTAATAATCTCTTAAAGTGAATTAACTTTCGTTTTTAATATTCTTAGCGAATTCTACGTGTAGAATCGAAAAAAAGGAAGAAAAAAAAACTTACTTTTTTTGTCATAATAACATCCGACATTTTCTTTCTTCCAATTTAAGTAGCAATCTAAACTGCCTTATCTACAAAATTAAATTTCGCTTTAATAAATATTAATAAGTTATCTCTTCAGGGTGGAAGAAGGGTAAGTTCTTCGTTTAATTGTTCCATGTCCCAAAAACTGCTTGCAAGAAGAGAGAGAGAGACAAATTCTCACGGGTAGTTTTCTCTTTTTGCAGAACAATGGTATCCAGCAATTAGCTTCAGAGGCAACTGTCTACATCGTCCTGGAAGATGTGAATGACGAAATTCCATTATTCATCGAAAGAGAACAGGAGACTGTGCTAGAAGGCATGCCCCCAGGCACCAAAGTCACACAGGTTCAGGCAAGTGACAAGGATGGTACCTACCCCAACAACAAGGTGAGTTTCTTCTTCTTTTTAGGTAAACAAACAGACAAAAAAGAGTTCATTCAATTCTTTAATTGAGTTTCAGTTGACCATTGCTGTCTGGGGAGCTACCACGACATCTTCGGTTTGGTGGAAATAAAAAATACAGTTGGAACAAATTAGCAACAACCGAAAAGAGAACCCATTTCGGCCATTTTTATTTTTCTGCGTCGGAGGTTGTTTTTTTTTTACTTTTTTGAGAGAAGGATTTAATCGGGTTGTTTCTGAACCCCAAAAATAAACCATCGTAATTAAATTCCGAGAAGAACAATCCGAGTTAATGAGAAGTCGTAGGGTGGAGGTGGGGATAAAATCGATACCTATAATGCGAAAACTAGATTAGGAGTTCTTCTTAACTAAAAACTGCAAAATCTATTTTTTTTAATCGCTAAAAAATTTTAATAATTAACTTGGAGTTCGAAATGGAAATAGAAAATTAATTGTTTTCGTTTCTAGAATTTTTTACTTTTGTATAATTAGTTAAAGAAATCTATAGTAGCACATAATAAAATAAAAAAAGTTTTGTTCTTTGATATAATTTTTAAAATACATTAAAGAAGAAATAAAAACATCTTTATTATCTATCTTAATATTATGTCATCAATTATTAGGTACAAGTAAGAATGAAATTTTTTTTATTATATATTATATTGAATAAAAATTAAAAACTTTTTTTTTGTTGTTGTTAAATTGTTTCAAGAATTGTACATTTAAACTTCTCCCAGAATCATCATTTTTCTTGAACCTTACAGAGTGCAAATTTTTTAGATAAAATGATAAAACAATTATTCAAAATATCTCAATCCAGTAATCATTTTCGTGCAATCCATCAACGAAACAATAAATTTTAACAATCAATCAATAATTAAGCTCAAATAATTAACAGCTTCAAATAATCAATCAATGAATTACCCGTCATAAATCAATTAGCAACCTCAAGGAATAATCAGTCTTAATTAATCTACAAAATCAAACAACCCTAATTTCAATCAGTTTTTTGTACTTTGCAATATTGTTGCATTGCACAAAATGTATGTTAAGAGCAACATTTGATTAATTCTTATAAATTATATATAAATTATTAAGGTTCATTTTATTTGGATTATTATCTTTCGTATTTTATGTGAAATGCTCTTTTAGAAATGTGTTAACGAGTGTTTTTCTTTCTCTCCCCCCCCCATTTTTTGTATACCGTATGTATACTGTACAAATAATGGAACTTTCTTCCGGAAAAAGGAAAAAAGAATTTTTCTGGCCTCGATTTCTTTCAACCGCGGCGCTCGAAAATCTTCTTTGAATGTATGAACAAAATCTTACATTCTTCAATTTTTCGGCAATAAAGGATTCTCGTGTGATAAAAAGACTTTCACCCGAGGAACTTGGCGCGGGTCAAAACGAAAGTTTACCCCTGAAAATCGGGGTAGACTGAAAGTAATCAAGCCATCAATCCATCATTCTTTGATGTGGAGGACGACTCGGGGTAATCAATTTCTCGAATGAATGAAAAAAAAACTTTCTTTTAAGTTTTGAGAATGGAAGTTCTTCTTGGCGAGAATCCTGGGAGCTTCTGTTCGAAAGTATTATTTTATAATAAAGTCTCTGTTTTCTCCCTGAGGGTGGGATTCTGAAAAGTAATATCAGTATGTCATCAGTAATCGATGGTTGCATGCAAAGTTTGTCTTCTTCTTTTCCATCTTCACAAAATGCGGAGAACTTGGCACAACAAAATGTAGCTTTTTGCTTTAAAAAGTATAAGAAAACTGCGCATTGAGTTTGGCGACATTAACTCTTCTCCCAAGCGAAAGTTCTTTTCTATTTCATTCTTTGTAATCTTTAAAATTATACCTTAAATAAAAGACTTATAAATGATTTCGGCGACATATTTTCTAAACTTGTTATGCTGCAGCGTTTTACATCTAAATGAGTAATATTGTCTCATTTATGAATGAATTTTAAAAAAATAAATTATTATGAATGAAACTTCTGAATAGTTAAACATGAATTCAGTAATTTCTACTCGTCAGAGAGCTTTTTATTTTGGACATAACTCAAAATGAGTATTTTAGAAAATGGATATAGCTCGAAAAGAAAGACAGTTCAAAATATGTATTTAAGAAAATGGGTATGGAACAAAATGTGCCTTTTTGATATTAAACCCAAATTTTCAGGAATCAGGAAATTTGTTTACTTTTATTAAGCGTAATAATTACTGAGTAGAGGCCCGAACTTCGTGAAAAAATGTTCTATGACTGCGAACCGTGTTGGCTTAGGGGATAGAGCATTCGCCTTCCAATGGGGTGACCCGGGTTCGAATCCCAGCGATGGCTGGTTGATACGAATCCCCCATCCGGGTCACACCGATCACACAGCTGACGTAAGATATCCTCAGTGGTAAACGGATCATGGATTAGTATTCCTTGCCGTCAAACTAACCTTGGGAAGTTTTCGTTGTTTTCCTCTCCATGTAACGCAAATGCGGGTTTCTTTCAGCTCCTCTTTAAAAGCCTCTGCGAATGTGAATTTTTCCCAATTCTTAATCCAAGAGTTCCTTAGTCTCCTGTATCGGCTTCAAGATTACAATGGATTTGAGCATTGGTAGTCGTAAACTCAAAATTGAGTATATAAAAATTTTTTTTGGCCACTTTCTTGGTAATGTAATGATGATATCTTTCCAAGATGTTCTAACTCTAGTGCAGTGGTCGGAAAAACTACATTTTCTTTGTAGTTAACTACAACTTTATTAGAGTTATAGGCAACTACAACTACGGCTACTTTTTTTCTAAAATATAGCGACTACCAACTATTTTCGAAATATAGTTACTACTTCACTACTTTTAAAAGACGTACATACTTTACTGGAGAGCATAATTCACACGAATGTTCAAAATGGTTTTGAATTAAAAATTGGCCTAATTAAGCATGAGAAGTTATTAGGGAATTTTTATTCACCTTTACATGAGATAGTTTGTATTTCTAAAGCCTTCTTAAGAATTTGTTCTTTTAACCTTCAATCTCTATGCTCGTCTTGACAGTGAGTATTTAATTTAAAAAAAAAAAAATAATGCTGAGAAATTATCAAATATTTGGGATTTAAGTGATTAATGATTTTTATAATCCTCCAAAAAATACAATCCCTGGCGAAATTATTAGACACACTATAACATTCTATTTAAAATCTTAATTATCAGGTGATAGTATACAGCTTTATTATTTTTATGTGACTGAAACCGGTTTGCACTTGTTTACGTTCATGTATCTAATTGGTTAAGTTAGACGATATATAACATAAATTAGACGATCTATTATATAAATATAGGATATTTATTGTATCAAGCATTATATTATTAGGGGAGAGTGGGGTCAATTGTAACAGGTTACGATTGTAACAGAGCAAAAATTTCGAGTGTCGGTTTCTAGATTTGGTTTCTAGGTGGCGCNGTATTAGTATATTATAATAATTAGAACAAATTATTAGACGCACTGTAGTTTTTTTTAATAATTACTTGTTTTGCACGAGTTCATATACACTGAGTGGCCAAATTATTATGACCACCCCTTCAGTCGTCTGCTTCCATACCCTATACGGCGCAATGTGCGTCGAACAGTACGTTCAGAGACGTTCACAGCTGCTCCTTGATTAAGATCACTTGCAATTTGTCGCACTGTTGCTCTCCTGTTGCGCTGCACAACCCTGGCCAGCCTTCTCCTGATCGAGCATTCAGTACCCTGTGACGACCACAAGTCTGACGTTGAGATCCGGTTTTTTGCTTGATTGTCCATTCTTTGTACACATTAACAACTGCTGCTCTAGAACACTTCACAAGTGCAGCCGTTTTGCTGATGCTCGTTCCGACACATCTCGCACCCACAATAATTCCACGTTGAAATTCAGTTAAATCACTTTTCTTTCCCATATCTGAGCGAGCAACACAGTATAACTGATGACTCACTTGTCCAGCATTCCCGTGTTATGGTTATCTTGCCCTCTAGCGGCAACGCTGTGACGCAATAACTCATTTGCATAAAACTCTGAGGTGGTCATAATAATTTGGCCACTCAGTGTACAATACTTTTATAATTAAACATACATGTAATAGCGTTCTATTCCGGAAATTTTTTATGTACTTCCTATTTGTATTTATTTTTTCCGTATTGCATTATAATGTTAAACACAGTTGATACACGAATGTAAACAAGTTCAAACCGGTTTCAGCTGCGAAAAAACAATAAAGCTGTATAGTATCACCTAATAATTAAGATTTTACATAGAATCTTATAGTGCGTCTTATAATTAGGCCAGGAGCTGTAAAGTACAGTGCGGAAAAAAAACGAAAAAAAACGGAACGCCCTGAATAACTTTATGTCTAATGATCGGATCTTCACGTTGTTGGACTCAATCTTAATGGTTCGATTTCCCATGATTCCTTTGTTTACAAGATTTCCAATGATAATGAACGAAATAACTTAAAAAGATGAAAAAGTAACTGCTGCCAACCAAAATGGAAAAAAAAAAATTGCTGCTCTGGAGCATCCGACGTAGATCTTATTAAAGCTTTGCCACAGAGGCATTCTCCTTGCTTGCGTTGAAGGACCTGCAAAGGATTTGGACCGATCACATTCGAAAATTTTTTTGCGTTCTTTTCTTCATTCAACTTTAATACTAGTTGCCAGAAATCGCTACAAACTACTATTTTTTGCATCGCACAAAACGCTACGCTATTTCTTTTAAGAAGTGGCGCACTGCACTACAAACTACGAAAAGAAGTAGCGACTACAGTAGTTTCGCTACAGTGTAGCGCGCTACTTCTGACCACTGCTCTAGTGATTGCCATTTCCTCCAGCTATATGATCAAAATGTTCTTTTAAATGTTATTCTATAAAAAGTGAATTAGCTAATTAAAATCACGATTCCTTCTGCATTTTTGTTTGTCAGCTGTCTGTCTGCCATTAAGAATAAAAACTTTTAACAGAGC